CCCCATTTCTCCTAAAAGTTGTAAATTCCTACTCCACTCCTCCTTAGGGATKGGGATTTCTGGAAAAGAAAACAAGGATTCTCCCCAGCCCCCAGATGAAAGCCTGGGAAGGGCCTTTGAAGCTGAACTGACACAAATCCTGAGGCAGCAGCGTTCCAGTGCTGGGAACTGAGGCTGTGCCAGCCTGGAGCTGACATCAGGGGGAGCTCAGGGAGGCTGGAATTCCATGAGCCAGGATTCCATGAGCCAGGATTCCATGAGCCAGGATTCCATGAGCCTGGCTTTGTGTGGCAGTGCCCTTGAATCCATGGATTAAAGCCAGGGAGCCCTGCGTTTCCCAAGGCATATCCCAACCTCTGAAAAAAAGTCTCATTTGCCTTAAAAATCTGAGGAATTGCATGGAAAAGGAGTTGGGAGTATTCCCAGCCTGGAAAAACAGTCCTGGAAAACCTCCTGGATCCTCAGGCAAAGCACCTGAACCCGTGTTTGGATTTGGAATCTGTGTTTGGATTCAAAATCTGTGTTTGKACAGCAGATTTGTTGTCCTGGGTTATCCCATTCACCCAGATCTTCTTCCAGGACTCCCCTCATGATGGCTTGCACCAGGAAAAACTTGGAAGTGATCCAAACYCTGGTGGAGCACGGAGCCAACCCGCTGCTGAGGAATAAGGATGGCTGGAATTGTTTCCACATTGCCAGCAGGGAAGGGCACCCCGAGGTGCTGCAGTACCTGCTGGATGCATCCCCAGGGTGCTGGGACACGGAGAGCACCACGGGGAGAACTCCTCTGCACACAGCAGGTATGGAGGGATGGATCCAGGGAATCTGGGATGGATGGGACAGGGGGAAAGGGGTGTTTTTCCAGCTCCTGTTTGTTTTGGAGAAGGAAAAGGTCAGGGAAACATCAGTGAATCCATCTTGGGAGCGCTCGTGATCCTCCTTGGATCGAGGAGTTGATCTCCATCTGTCCCAGGCAGAGATGAATCTGAGCCCCCCTGACTTGGGACGTGGATATGATTTCCCTTCCCAGTGTGGAAAGCCAGGAATTGCTCTTGGAAAAATCTGCATGTATCCTGGCATTTTCTGAGCCCTAAGAGCAGCAGAACTGCTGGGAGGAACCTTGTGGGATCTGCCTGTGGATCCTGGATCCTGGAACCTTGTGGGATCTGCCTGTGGATGGATTTCTGTATCACCGCCTCAGGCTGGTCCAGGGGATGTTTGGATTGGATTTTAGGGAATATTTCTCCATGGAAAGGGTTGTAAAGCATTGGAAGGAGCTGCCCAGGGCAGGGATGGAGTCCTCATTCCCAGAGGGATTTAAAATCCCTGTGGATGTGGCACTTGGGGACATGGGGCAATGGTGGCCTTGGCAGTGCTGGGAATGATTGGGCTTGAGGCCTTTTCCAAAACGGCTCCATGATTCTAAACTCCAGATTTTGGTGTTCTTCCCTTGCTTTCATCCCATGGTGAGAATTCCAGAGGGATTTTCTGCAGAGGRGCAGGAGAATCCCTGCTGGAGCTGCTTTTAGGGTTGGAGCCCACCATGTCCAATTCCTTTCTCCCTGCTTTCCAAGGATATTTAAAGGGAACGAGCAGGTTTGGGACTCACAGCCACCCTCAGGAGTGCTGGGAAACAGAAGGGCCCAGAATCCACCCAGAATTAAACTCTGAATTCAGAGCTTTGCATTGTCTCCACAGCAGAGATGAGCCCTGGGTGCCCAAACTCCTTTCCCAAAGAATTTAATCGGGATTGACTCTCTGGAAAGAGTTGTGAGGAGCCCCTGCTGGGCTGCTCCAATCCACTGTGGGATGTGCTGCTCCTGGCCTGTCATTGCCGTGCCTTTTCCAGCCCTTTGTCTGTCACCATTGGCTCATCAGCGGTGACAATTCCAGCCCTGGGGCACTGACTGCACCTTTGTCCTTGTGCTCCACCTGGGGATGGGAAAAGCAGGGAATGAGTTGTTTGTTTTTGAAATGGCAGATCCCGATGTTTTCTGTGTTCTCCTGTCCCTGCTCATTCCCAGGTTTGGTTTCCATGGAGCTGGGATGGAGACAATCCTCACTCACCCTTTTCTGGGTGGGGATGTGGGATTGGGGCAGCACAGGGTGAGGATTGTCCTGTGGGAAAGGGGGAATTTTAACCTTGAGCCAAAATCTTCTCCCTGCCTTGGGATATGGGAATACATTTGGGATCCAGCACCTGGATCCTGATTCACAGAGATTGCTCCACCTGTTGTCTTTGGCAAAGCCAAAAATCCACAATTTTTTACTTATTCCATTATTT